AACTCATATCAACTCTACAGTGCCGTGGTATATAAACAATCAATGACCATACAATTCTGTTCATATCCACAGTCTGACAATATTTGATGCGATACTATTAATTTATACCTAAGAAAACAAACCATTTTGCTTGCTATATTTACCTTGTGAATTTGAATCCATTAAATATATATATATGTTTGCTATTAATTTTGAAGATTGGTAGCAAATTCCTATAGTATTTGAATATCAGTCCAGCTCCAGAGCAATCACTCTAAGAAATGAACAGTCCTTTGATTGCTTTACTTTCTTTCTAATAACGGTAGGTATGATTCCTATATGTTAGGTGTTCTTCCAACTGTATATTGAAATCTATTAAATAATGTGAATATGGTTCTACACTAATATTCAAAGACTCCTTACAGAATTTGCAGGGAGCTAACAATTCCAGTGGAACAATTTATTTGTTTAGAATAGCGCCTTTTGAATATCATGATTATTTCCTGCCTGCTATAGAAGTCCTGAGAAATCATTTAAATTTCCAACATACTTTTGTCAAATCATTGTAGCTATATTAAAACAGTCCAAACCTGAGTTAAAGATATCTGGAGCTCCCTCATTATGTATGTGCTGAAGTTGCTAACTGTTTATTTTTCACCTAGGTTTTGAAAGTCCCTGTTGTAATGTTCAGTTCCTCAGAAACATGAAAAGAGGCCTTTTGAGGAGGTGGGAAGCTTTTTCAGATGCCAAATGCTCCTATTTTAGCTGGAAGTCACACCATGTTTATAAAGATTGCCTTGATGTGTACAGCATTTAAGCAGTCTCAATTTCTATTAAAATTTAAGATGAAAAATAAAGGCAATGGAAAAAACATTTATTTCCCCAGTTTTCGTGTTCTTCAGGATATAGTTTTGCAGCTCTTGATATGCGAGATAGAAAGGAAATTAGCTGTATTGTCAGAGCCCTGTACATTGGCTGCAACAGTCCTTATTTCACCATTTGGGTAAGGGGAGCAAGGCTAGCGTGCAATGTGTCTAGCTGTCCTGCAAGGAGCAAAGACTGCACATGTGATATTTACCCCTGCAAGGAACTGGGCAAGAAATGATGGAGGGACTGGAAATGAATGAGCCCTTCATCATTTCCTTCACCCTCCAGTTGCTGGCCCCATAGGTGGACCCTTGCCAGAGGCAGAAATCAATGTTGCATGTAGTGCTCAGCCTGCACGAAGCCTGCTGACGTGCGTGGTAAGATTTCCATTACTCTCAGTGGAATTTGGAGCTATTGTTTTAGGAAAAAATCAAATGATAAGCTAGTTTTATTTGGGGTATTTTCCATGTGCATTAAAATCTGCATTGTAATATCATTGCTCATTTTGTGTGGCTCTGTGGAAGCCTTTGGTACATGTCTGTCTGGGAAGCATGCACTGAGATTTCCCAGACTGTACTTATATGCTTTACTTCTGATGGACGATTTTTCCTCATGAATATTTCTCCATAGCCCTTATTTATTTTATTCTTAATTAAAGGGGCATGTTGGTGCATTTTAAGAAGGCAACAATAACAGGTTTTTTTTTTTTTTTATATATAGTCATCCATTCATGCTCTTGAATGACTTCTTCACATAAAATGCATATTTCATTCAACTGTATTCTGCACCTTTAGCTGCTAAGGCTGTGTTGTTGTATTACTGATGTCAGGGCCAGATGTGCATCCCCCTTCTACGAGATGACTTGGCAAAGGTAAAGCATTTAGCTGGCTGAGTCCAAGGGGAGCTCCATTGCCAGTGAGAGCCCTGCATTGCTGTGGACGTCCTGGGAAAGCACTGGATGATGTCTGACCCTGATTGCCACCCGGATTTGCCCCTCCGCATGCTGGCTCCTTGGTGGAAGGTGTTCCTCCCACCTGCCTCGGTATCCTGCTCGGCTCCTGGTTCGCCATCCCTCGTGGACCAGCTAGTCCTTGCTGTGCCCTGACATCTGACATGATTATCCCTGAAAATATGGTTTTGTGACAGGTTGCAGGATAGCAGCAGAACTTCTCCCTGGCTGTGAGTTTCAAACTGTCTTATGTCACAGAGAAGAACTGTAAAAAATTAATATTTATACATGGGATATAGAGCATTCTTATTCATGTAAGTAAAATGGAGTGCTTTATTTTTCACAAGCTCAGGAAATGCCAGTTCAAATATGCATTACTGGTTGCAGCTGGTTGGGCTTTTTTGGTTACAATTTTTGATGGAAAGTGAAATAAGATGAAATTAAAACAGTTCTTATTGTAAAATACAATGAAGGTTCAAAATGGACAAAGAAGTTCTGAAGTAGACATTTTTCAAGATGATTCCTTTTGGAATTTTTCAGAATTTAATTTCTGAGTTCTGAAGCTTCATTTTGACCCATAGAGGGATTTGATTTTTATATTATTGTTAATATGTTTTACACCATGTCAGTAACAGTGTTCAGTATAATGCTTGAAATATTTTACTTTATGTCTTAATTTCCAATGGGAACAAGTTATCTTTTCGAAAGTTCTGTTGTTTGCCATACTGAAAGAGTTTGACACTTGAATAGATTTCTCCTTCTGGGACTGCTATGACACTGTAAACATTCTGAATACAAAACAATAGATAGCTCAACGAACATTAAGTAGAAGATATTCTTACTGATTACGAAAATGATTCATTTAAGTGTTATGCCATATAACTAGCAGTTTGTGCACTATTACAAGTGTCTAATCATTAAATAAGATAAAACAAAACCAAACATTTTAAAATACGAAAATCTTACAAATATACTTTCATCCTGAATTAAAACAAAAAGGTGTCAAAGTAACCAAATTTCCAGTAAAGCAGAAATCCAAGGTTTCCCCTAAGTCTACATCCAGATCTAGTTTTTATAGGAAACTCAGTGACTTGTGTTCTGGTGGCTGAATTAAATCCTAGAGTAGAAAATTAGCCTCCAATGCAAACAAATGGTTATATATGATGCTACCCCTTACACTTTCTGGACTGCTTCCCCTTAGCCTTTATTTTCAAGCATTCTACTCACTTAGCTCTGTATATAAATGTGTGCATGGATTTGTCCCAAGGGTCAATCTCTCTTCACTGGAGATTCTGGTTTTCAATTTTTGGCTTGCCCTGTGGTGCCAGCAGGGCCATGTCACTCAACCTGTCTGCCACAGATTATGGACCAAGAGATGGGTTTTTTGTCCACTGCCGGGAGCTGGAAATGCTCTGTGAAATGAAAGTGTGTCCGTGAAACTGCCTATGATGTGGGAGGTATTGTGCAGGACTGGAGCCGGCCACTCACCCATTCCCTGGGATGCATATTCCTGGTTGGGGAGAGGCAGTCCAGCCTGCTGAGAGGAAGAACTGACCTTGTTATTGTGGGTGAAAAGAAACCAGAGTCTTAAGATTTATTTAGGGAAAAAAATGTGCAGTGGAGGGTTTTGACTATTTACTTTACAGAGTAGCTGAGAGAAAGAACAGTTTGTTTTTAATTTTGCTGTGTTAGGAGAGTACAAACTATGTGAATTGGGAGAGAAAGGGTTTGTGGATGATAGCTGTGTGCTCAAGGTGTTTTTCTGTATGCGTGTCTCCTCCTAACCAGGAGCTTTTCAATTGGATGAGGAGGGGAGACCTCTCAAGAGGGAGAGCATGAAATGGAAAATGTGGGAGAAGCGGTGAGTGGATGTGCAGAACC